CCAACATCAGGGTCTTTTCCAGGGAGTCTTCTCTTCTCATGAGGTGGCCAAAGTATTGGAGCCTCAGCTTCATGACCTGTCCTTCCAGTGAGCACTCAGGGCTGATTTCCTTCAGAATGGATAGGTTTGATCCTCTTGCAGTCCATGGGACTCTCAAGAGTCTCCTCCAGCACCATAATTCAAAAGCATCAATTCTTCAGCGATCAGCCTTCTTTATGGTCCAGCTCTCACTAGGTGCTACAATACTAAAGGTCTAATCCAACATTCTGTTAGTTAGACTTTGCATTGGGCACCTCACTGGAGACTGCAGTGAATAAGAATGGAAGAACTTACGGTGCCTGTGGGAAGTCAGCGACCAGGATTCAAGTACAAAACCTCCTGAGGTTTCCAGCAGCTGGTATTTATAAGCACTCCAGCTGTGGAGGCTGAGAATAGCAATCACAGATAGTGGCCATTGATAGCCTTCTCCTTCATGAAACTGTCCAATTGTTTTTAAAGCCTTGCTATGCAATTTACATCCAGAGATATATCCTACTGGTTCTCTTCAGTCCACCATTAGGACATGTTGAATTTCCCAGCTTTCAAATTCCAAAAATGAGGGGTGCTAAAATTGAGAATTCAATTTATATTTTGTTTAATTTCAATTAAACAAAATTCAATTTATATTTTGTTTAAATTAATATAATTTGGTTTCACTTGGTAAACAACTACGTAAAAATATTGACCTTTTTATATATTTTTGTGGAATTTCTAATAATGTTAAACTTTTCTTATTCATTTTTGTGTGTGAAAAATGTATGTCAAATTGCATTAAAATAATTAAAAATAACCACCAGGTGCTAGGGGTTATATTATATATGCCTGAGTATAAATGATGTCATATCTGACATCATTTCAGATGATGCTCTCAGAAAACTTCTTTGGTTTTCTGAGAGGAGTTTATGTGCTTTTTAATCAAACCAAGCTAAATGTTGTCTGATCACAAAAATAATAGTATATTTTTAAGAGCCCTCACTGAAGAAATTTGCAAAAATGAAGTTTCACCTGTAAAATAGCACACCCTATTCCTTATGGATCTCAGTCGGATGAAAGCCTGACTAACCATACTAAAGGCTGCAATCCTACACAGTCCTGGCTTATTGAAAGGTGGCATGAATTATAGTCATGACTAACTTGCACTGAGTTCAATGGTACTAAAGCATAACTTACTTCCTTTGGATATGAGTCTTTTTTGACACTATTCCCAGCTGCTGGTTACAGTGCCTATTAATTCTCTGAGCATCATATTTGGGAAAATAATAAAGTTGAACCACTGCTGTAGAAAATAAATGGTACATTCTTTTTATGGGAAAAAGGATGTGGGATATGATTTCTGACATTAAAAATGTTCTCTGGTTATGCTTCATGACCCCTTTCTGCCTCCTATGTTACATTTAAGAGGGTGTAGAACTGCAAAGGAGATGGAAGTACAGGAAAAAACTATTCCAAACTGTACTGATTAAAATAAATTTACTCATAAAAAAAGACAGAAGTGTAAATTGCAGTATCCCAGAGCAGCAGTAACTTATACACAAAGAAGTTATTTTTGAGTTTAGTAGAGGAAATAATCTACTATCAACAAGGGGTAATTGCCTGACTGAACTTGTCTTTACATCTCACATAAACTGTCACCTTGAGTAGGAAAGAGAAATATACCACATATCAATTCTGGAAAGATTTTTGAGACGTCCCTTCAAGTTTAAAGGCTGCTCTCCCCACCCCCACCCTTTGTCAGCCACCTGAAAGAAAGAACATTTACACAGAACATATCTAATCTCTGTTCTTTTCTTATCTCTGAATGGTATCCCAACACACCACAAAATTCATAAACCAGGCAGCTGAGGGCAATATGAGAAAGGATCCATTTTAGATTGGAACAGCAATTCCAATCTGAGATTTACCTGTGGCAGTCGCAGGTGATACAGGTTAGCTATAAAACTCTTTGGATATAATTTAAGGAATTATTTGAGTCAAGGAGTCTAAGGGACTTTAGTCTTTTTTTCTGATTTGTGAGTAGATGCAGTAGAGCTGAGAAGAGGGGAAAACACAATTTTGTAATGTATTGACTCATATTTTAAATCAATCATCTATACCAACTTTCACCAACCTGATGCCCTCCAGGTGGTTTAGACTACATTTCACATTCATCCCCGCCAACATGACTATGCTGACTCAGGATGATGGGAGTTATAGTCCAAAACATCTGGCGGGCACTAGGTTGATGAAGGCGTGCTCTTCCTATTCTAAGGTTTTTCTCCCTCTCTTCCCTTCTTGTCTACAACTCTGAGATTTGCTGAGCCAGCAGTCACCCAGTACTGCCCAGTGCAGAAAGCACCTGAGAGCTGTTGTGGATGGCATGGTAGGGAGGCAGCACTTACCTGACCTCCCAAAAGCTCAGTCACTGTTTCTTGCTGGAGGGAGAGCAATGGTCAGCGAGGTGCAAACACACTGGCAGCAGTGCTGAATTGGCTCCACAGGTGCTGAATTCACCACTGTCTCATCTTTAATAATAATAATAATAATTTATTATTTGTACCCTGCCCATCTGGCTGGGTTTCCCCAGCCACTCTGGGCGGCTTCCACAGAGACCAAAAATACACTAAAATGTCACACATTAAAAACTTCCCTGAACAGGGCTGCCTTTCCCTCTCTCCCTCCCAGTAAGCAGCAACGACTCAGTTTTGGGAGGTTGGGTAAGTGCCACTGCCCCAACACATCATGGTCCTCTAGATGTTCTCAGATTCATTCATACATTTGCATTGTCACATTTAGCTTGACCCTCACTTTCTATTTTAAACGTTTTAGTGTTGGGCACAAGTGCACCAACTTTCCTTCCATCCCCCTCTCTCATAGCTACTTTGCAGAAAGTAAATATTGCTGAAAATATTGCTTAGATTGTAATGATTCTATAAATAAATGCAATCAAATCTTGGATGTGAAATCAAACATTCTTTCAGACTTGCACAAACTTTAACCACTTGATGTTTGAAAAGTGAGGCATATACAGTATCTATTTTTCTTTTAGGTCAAAAAGGGAAACTGTTACAGTTTATGGACACAGCTGATACAGAGGCTAGCTCAAGGCAGTCTATTGCCGTGTAAACAAATCTCAGGTGAACAGCCTTTAGCAATGTATAACAGTGTCTGTGTGCATGTCCACAAACAGGCTCTGATCCTTGGTATAGGAATAGGAGTGTTACAAGTACTTATCGTATTTATCTGTGACATATTGGAGTGTATGTGTATGAGCTGAGATCACAGCCGAGGGAGGGTATAAGGCTACCTGCTGTTTTTGCTTTACCTGGTTAAAGGCAGAGGAAGCTTTTGTAGTGATGGCCGCAACACAGTGGAAAACCTTATTTCCTCCTCTGCACCTGCAGCCAGTCACTATGTGATTGGAATCAGTGATGGCACCTAGGTTTTTGCACCACTGCCAACAGTTCAAAAGTCAACAAAGACACAAAGCATGTCAGTTTCAGTCTTATTTTGATGATCAGGACTTTACGAGTCACCTATTTTTGGAAGCATAAGAGAATATATCTGAAAGTCAAGGACAATTCCTCTTACAGAAAGAAACACTATGAATGGAATTCATCAGGGAAGCTGGTTTTCTTTATCAGCATTTTATGTCAGTCACATCAAATTTGGTCTAGGAAATAGAACCATTCTTATTCCCCAAGTTTGATCTGTATGGTGTTTGAAACTCAGTTCAGGCTTGTCATTTCTCTGTGGGAACAATAGTTCATTTTCCTGCCATCATGATTCTTGTAGTACAGATAATAGTAGCTGTGGCAGTATTATTTCGACATTGTTACACAGTAATAACAAAGGACACTAAGGAATTCTAACAACATTTCATAATAATAATAATAATAATAATAATAATAATAATAATAAGTAGTTTTTGGAGGTGGGAATAATTTTTGATATGTGGCATCATCATTAAAGATGTTGGTCCCAAACCAATGCACATTTATATATTTTCAATTTTTATAGCCTGCTTTTCACCACAGCTGGTCACAAACTGGTTTACAAAAAAATCAATAGAATAATTCATCCATCAACTAACATGGTGTTTAAAACAGACAAAAACCACAGGTAAAGAAACATAAACACCATAAATAGGCATAATGTAACTTACTTTAAATGCCTACTGGAACAGAAAGGTCTTCATCATTTAATTTATATGCTGCTTAGTGTCAAGAGAGGCTTCTAAGCTGTTTACAAAGTGAAAACCAGTTAAAATATAAACATTCATATATTCTTTGCACGAGAAAACAATCCCATTAAGACAGCAGAACAATTAAAGCAGTTAAACAATTAAATCTGTTATGCACAGTCAACATTCTGCTGATTAGTGTGACTTAAGAAACACCTAATTTCTTGCTGGATTGTGGTCACTCTTTGATGTTATTATTCCTACAGTGACATTAAAACCATATTTAAACCTGGTGTAGAAATTAAAAACCTGTACACATATTGGAAGTGGCAAGAAATAGGCCACAGCTAATATATTTCTACATTAAATTAAGAATGGTACACTTAAAAAAGCAGGTCCAATAATTATCAAGGAATTGCTGCCTGTTATAAAGCTGTTGATCTATTGTGCTCAGAACAGAAATCTACAGCCTCCATGCTGTTTGTGAGGATTTTTGGGGGCGGAGGGAAAAGCCTGCCAAATCCATACCCAAAGCCAGAGTATATAAACAGTTCACTGACAACCTTCTCCCCAAGAACGAGCAAATGATATAGATTTCAGAGATAAAAACATCTGAATAAAATATACCTCGTATGCAAATGACAAGAACACATTTGGAATCAGATGGAAGATTGAAAGTTTTTTTTCCAGAGTGAACAACTGTAAGATTAAATATGAATCACTCTTTCTATCTCACAAAACCTGCAAATATTGTTCAGCTTTTATTAGTGTGCGGCAATAACAGGGGAACAGGACAATTCATGCTGGGAGCTACACTGGTGATAATTCTTAGAACTGCACAGTATCTCTCTGTTCTCTACAATGTCAAGGCTGAAAACCACAGTAAGGAATGAAAAGAACACTGTTTCCACATAGCAGAAAGAAGAAAAGAAGAGACTCAGAAGGTGGGCAGGCTTGGGTGGTAAGGATTAACTATCTGTTTTAGTATAGCCTTTTTTTCCTTTTCTTTTTTTTTAAAAAAAGAAATTTATATTCAAAGTAAACACTCCAGTTCAGCTAAAGTTAGTTGTGACATGCAGCACAATTTTACTGAGGAGTAAGTTCCATTTACTTCATTAGAATTTACTCCCAAGTAAGTGTGCATAGAATTGCAGGCTAACTTTGACTGGCAACAATGGTATTAAATTTAGTCACAAATTACTGGTCTCATTGGCTTCAATGGGGCTAATTTTGGTTGGCTTGGGACAAAGCAAATATTCACTTTGCATGCTGAAACTGCCAGATTGCCATATTTTGAGAATGTTGGTGAATATCTTTATATCCAGTAATACTCTCTCTCTCTCTCTCTCTCTCTCTCTCTCTCTCTGTGTGTGTGTGTGTGCGTGTATGTAATCCAAGAGCAACTCCTCCAATACCAGCTAACTCATTCCCTAAGATTTGGTGAGTATGGGGTTTTGTTCATGGCCGCTACTAGGTTACATGAATCAGGGATATATGGCACAGACTTCTCTGTGGTGGCCCCCTCACTTTGGAACACCCACCCACCCACCTGGAGCTGGGATTGTTATCCCTTTTTTGTGTTTAGTTGATAGAGATTCTGTTATTTTAATGCCAAACAGCTGCAAATGATTCCTGTGTTTGAATGGTTTTGTTATTTTATAGATAGTAATGGTTATTTGTGTGTGTTTTATTTATTTTTTATACATGGTTGTTTTATCTTTTATTGTACATCATATCTGTGCTCCTTCTGAAGGAAGTGTGATTCTTAAACTTAATAAATAAATAAATAAATAAATAACAACAAGAAGAAGTGTTTTTTGCTTATTTTTTGGGTGGCCTGCTATTTCTGACAGAGAATGGGGAGATTCACATGTAAATATAAATTGAATAATGCTTCTCTCCCATCCCTACTGACACTAAATTATAATAGTTGCTGTTATTATTATTATTTTGTGTTTATGTACCTCCTTTCCTCCTTTAGTTAACAGATTTCTAAACTACCTTTCAGGATAAATTAACCTCCCAAGTTGGTTTATAAATTCATTCCCCGCATCATTTGCTATCTTCTATAAATGAGTTACAGTTTGAAATTTAATTTGTAAAATTAATGTAGGATATTAATAACAAAAACTTGTGATTGAGCCAATCAGCTTTCTTTGGATCAACCAACTGAGCTGTTGACTGATGTCACAGCTAAATCTGAATCTAATTTATTTTTATTTCTTTAAGAACAGATTTCATCGAAACAGCAGTCTACTCATTTCATTTTTGTAGAGAAAGTCCAATTGATATAATGAGAAATGTTAGGCTCACATCTACTAAAATGTTACTATGCTGCACATAAAATTTCTAGAGAATATGAGCTGGAGCACAATGCCCTATCTTTGTATCTATTTTAAGTTACAGCAGCTACATAATTCTTTTAAATGCTCCTACAATATTTTTGTGATTTCTCATATAGGTTCTAATGCACCTGAATTGATTTTCTCCTTTGGCTTGCTTCAGGCCAAAACAATGTGAACTGAGCTAAAGATGACCACAACCCCAACTTTCTACGGTAAGTATATCTCTATTTATAAAGCATACATCATAAACATATACTGCAAGTCTTTCCAGAGGGGAAAAAAGTCCATAAAATAAAATCTGCAAAATAAAACGACATTTTAAAAAAGAGATTGCGGCAATATGAGTTGAAACACCTCCAGTTAAATGAATACATAATATATATTACATATAAAACCTATTAATCCAATTTAACAACATTCAATGCATTTATGCTAAGAAACAGCTAAAAAGCACTAAATGGAATTTACAGAGATGAATAAAAAGCACAATTACCAACTAGACTTGGGAGATTCCAGTTGGTAAATGAGTCTGTGAAATTGCCTTCTGTTAAAAAAGAGTATTAATGGCTATGTTAGCACTTGACTAATATTTTATGGTGCAGACTGTTGCTAAATTAAACCCTTTGTGTGTCTTCCTACAGAGACACTTAGTTATAGTTAGAACGGTTGTTTCCTGTTAAATACCTTTAAGAGTTTGCTGTGGGCTGAAATCCTTGCCTCAGCTTTTCTGTATGTTGTAACTGTGTACATGTTACCTTTCCTACCTGCTGAGAAGATTCAGGTGGTAAAATGTCACACAACCTTAGTATTATTGGGGTGAACCAAGCATCCAGGCCCTGCTTGCTGTGAAGAACCCTGACACACATGCAACGCTCCACATACACATCACTGCAGTGTCTGTATAGCAGGATGGGAACCTGTTGCCCTCTAGACATTCTTGGACTCCAGCTCCAGCCAGTGTTCAGAGATAATGGGGGCTATAGTTCAACAGCATCTGAAAGGCTGTATGTTCCCCATCTCTGATGTATAGAGAGATGTATTACTTCGTCCATCTTCCAGTGTGGATGTGAATAGACACCAGCATCCATCCTTGAAGGCCACATGCCATGTATGGTTAGTGGTTTATCTGAAGTGAGACAAACCATGAGCCTGTATTTGAACAAACCTCTAAACAAAACTAGGTATTAGTGCAGCAGGACCAGGAGAGAAGTGAAACGGCCAAGATCTTTGCTATGAATAGCTGTACAATTGCACATTCATGCTTAGCCATGGTTTGGCTTAGCGTTGCAAGTGAATCAGGTCAAACTCCTCAAACCATAGCAGTATCATATTCTGACATTTTCTCAGTATGTAGGAAAAAAGCCTCTTGTCATAAATCACAAGAGATACGTACCATAAAAGTTTGTCTTGCAATTAGCACACCTTTATTCTAGTACAATGCAAGTCTGCGTGGAGCACTTTGTCTCAATCAAAATGACAGCATATAAAGATGTTGGGTGAACACTGCGTGATTGATTATTAAACAAGCATAGTGTAACATGTGTAAGCTTTCATAAATGCTTGTTCGCTAGCATGCATTTATGCCTATCAGCAATAGCTCAAGTCAGGTAGTAGGATAAAGCTTTCAAGAAGAAGGAAAAGTTGCTATTGTGGTGGAAGAAGACTTGAAGTACCATATGAAAATGGTTATAGAAGGAAAGCAGCTTTGTAGATATTCATTGATATAATCCACATCAACCATTGATTTAAATAGAATGTGCAGTATGTATATGATTGGAGGTTTTTTGTACTTCAACAACTCTATTCTGATTTGTAGACAGACAAATGGACAGTGAACCCTTTGGAGGACTTGGCTTCTGTTGCTGTCTGGATAAATAAATGATTCCTCCACTGAAATGATCTGGGAAGCCTGCATGTGTCAGATATCCATGTGCATCTGGATCTTTTGGATTGGTCCATTTATCTTCTACAAGACATTCTGCCTGCAGTAATGCAGTACAAAGAGAACACATTATATTTTCTGTGTGTTTTGACCAGGCTCACAAGAAGCATTTCCTCTTGGATCGCTTCAGTGGTTATTTAATAAAGCTACCCCACCCCAGGAATTGGCTTGACGGACGCTTAATTCGATATAATTTTCATATATTTATATATAGTTAAAGTTAATGGTTTCCTACAGGAAGATGAACAACAAACAGAAAATTCCACTGGCTGTTGTATATGATACCTGACTCACAGAAGGAGGAAAATCCACAGTAATGTACTGAGTCATCATTGCTAACAGAAGCATAGCTCTTTTACAGCAGCAGTGAGATTGGTTTCAACTGGAGAAACGCAGCGGGCGGTTCGCAGAGTGATCCTCGAGCATGCTGGGGAAATGATCCCTGGTGTACGGCCAACTGCAGTTTGTAACATCAGAAGTACTGCCTCTTAGAGCATCTGCAGCACAAGTTACAAACAGATTACAAGAAGTGTGTACGCTCCAAGCTGCTGTTACATGAACCATATCTTCTGTATAGCCCAGAGCAGAAGAATTAAATTGTGCAATTCTAATTAGAAACAGAATTAATGCTGTCTACTGAGGATGGAAGGAAGTGAAATAAGCTAGTTAACGACAAGCAGGCTCTTTGGGATTTTATAGGCTTTACCTACACACAGGAGTTGCACCGATCCGAGGGTGCTTCGTTGGGGTAACCCCTGAGATATTTCGAGTCGAGTCATGACATGAACACTATCGACTGGGTTTGTTAGGAGTGACATGGTCAAATAATACTGTTGCATAACATTCTTTGTAGTCTGCACTGTGTGTTTGCAATGTATCCTGGTCACAAAATGATGACTGGTATGATTAAGAGGTGGCCCTACTGATTGTTTATCTCATTAGGATGATTTATATAGTATTTTTATATACATTCATAACAATGACATAATGTCATGAAGGCATGAATATGCAATGACAACGAGATGCAAGTAAAATAATGGATCCATAAAAATAACATTTTATTGTGGAAGAGGATGTGGACCCCTCTCTCTCTAAGGAAGGGGAAAGGGGAAAGGATTTCTGCAGGGAAGCCAAACTCTCCATTTCTTAACCTTATCAGGAGGAGCTGAATGAGTTATTTGTCATTGTGAAAGATTCTTAATGCCTCCTTTATCTGCATATGAATATTCCCTGTATATTATTAGGCTCACAAAGGCTCCTACTAAATTATTGAGTAAAATACAATATATATAAAACAATGACCCTTTTTAGGAGTACAGACTTTAAACATGTATATGCATCTGTGCAAATAACTTTCTATTTATTCAGTGATCTTAAATGAGTTTTTGCAGCAAACATGCAGACTTTTAAAAATATTTATTGCATCATGGGTGGGTGTGTGATAATAATGGGATCAGAACAGACATGGAGGGGAAATTTAACCCTTTCTTCCTTTGCTGCTGTGTGAAGAAAAGCTTTCCTCTTGGAGCTAAATTTAGCTTGGGGCAGGGGGCGGAATTGCCTATTGGCACCAAAAGATATTTCCCTTGGGCTGCAAATTGCAGCTTCAGAGAGAGGCATCTTTTGTCCAAACTTTAGCATGGAGAGATGGAATTAAACTTTCCCTCTCTAACCGAATAGTCCTGAGGCTGTTTGGGCTTCCCCACACCTGCTTCTTGCATAACCAAAGAACTGCATGCTATTTGTATTTAGGCAATTCTCATCAAGCCTAGGTTGACCTTTAGTTATTTGAAGGATGGCTGTGTACTGAGGAAAATGTATCATTTTCATGCTCAGAATTTTACTTTTCTTTTCTGTTGGCTAGGGTGTCCGGTCTATGTTTTATATTTCACCAGGGTCTGGAATAATTTCAGGCCAGGCCTTCCACAAAGCTCTCGAGACCAGGCCCTGAGGCAGCGGAAGACCATTTTCTGGTGGGCTTTAGTCATGCCTGGTGTTTATTTAAGTTTGTTCTAAAGTCACCATACTTTGTGCACATACATCTTATAACTATTACTTCACATTCCCTGGAGCAAGAGCTTGCTGAAGACATTTTCCAGCCTGAGGAGGATTAACAAATGGTGCCCTCCTCACAAAGTTAAGATGCACAGTACCAGAGGCCAGACAAGTTATTTCAACACCTGAGGCAGTAGATCCCACAAGTACCCCTCTCCCGTCATGACAGTAAAATACAATACAGTGGTACCTCGGGTTACAGACGCTTCAGGTTACAGACGCTTCAGGCTATAGACTCCGCTAAGCCAGAAATAGTACCTCGGGTTAAGAACTTTGCTTCAGGATGAGAACAGAAATTGCAGGGTGGTGGTGTGGCAGCAGTGGGAGGCCCCATTAGCTAAAGTGGTGTCTCAGGTTAAGAACAGTTTCAGGTTAAGAACGGACCTCTGGAACGAATTAAGTTATTAACCTGAGGTACCACTGTCATACATTAAATACTTGACAATTTGCTGGCCTTTCATGACCCCCCAAATCAGCTGCCTGAGACCTAATAATGGCCTAAGAACATAAGAATAACTCTGCTGGATCATTCCATCATGCTGCTTTCACAGTGGCCAGGCCCAAACAGTGGCAAGCAGGGCCTGAGCACTCTCCCTGTGTAATGGGAGGGCTGGCTCTGTCAGAAATGCAGCCTTGACCCTGGAAGTACGGTACATTAGGTTGCTAAATGCAGATTAAATCCTATCTGAACAAACCCAGAAGAAGTCCAACCTTCTGATCACTACCAGGAGTTTTGAAGTTAAGATGAAAATGGCTGTAAGCATTTGTTCTTGCCTAAAGGCAGCCCAATTGATCTCAAGGCAGGGCGAAACCGCCTACTCCATGTAGCAAAGTAAATTCATTGGTAGCTACATTTGTTGCTTCCTCATTGCTCCTCTTCTGTCAGCCAAGGAATGACTCCAAGATGGTGCCACTTCAAAGAGAAGCATCAGCTGTGTTTCTCCAAGATGGCACCACCTTTGAGAAAATGGCCACCCTAAGAAGTCAATACTATTTTAGAAGCTCCCCACACACAGTTCTTCACAAGTTGTTTTTGTGTGTGTGTAATGCTCCTTGCCCATAAGACTGTGAGATGCCCAAGAGTTGTATACCCATTTGAACATCAACCTGCCCATTTGAATGTACTGTTTGTCACTGCTGACATGGCTCCCTCCATATGTAAGTCCTGGGACAATTTCACCTAAAAGAATCCCTGAAAAAGGACTCAACAGAAAAGGCTGTTGGTTGACTTTGTTCTGGACCAGCAAGGCACTTGTGACCCACAAAGTGATGCTAATCTTCAGTTTGGGAAGTAATGCAAAAAATAACAAGGAAGTGTGTGGCAAGTCACCCAATGACTGAGTTGCATTTTCAGTTTGGGTGATCTGATCCACAACAGTATAATATAATTTTCAATAATAAAGATCCTTTGAGCAATAAAATGATAAAAAAAACTTATATGGCCATTAGCTGCTAATGGAACAAGTTGAATGGGGACAGTAACTCCATAGTACATATCCAACATTTGTATTATAGTATATTGATAATGAATCCTAGAATACCCATTTGAACCATCAGTATTCTTCTGTTTGCCCTGTGGGAAATTAGAATCCATATCATATGCATTATTTGTACATCTCTATACCCATATGTGCATATGTATATTTAAGTTACAAACTAAATAATGGGCTTTACTCTGATTTCAGATTTTTAACACACTGATGCACTTCTTCATTCTTCCCATCAATTTAGTCTTTGTGTTTTTCTACATCCCTGAATTAAGTCAATAATGTCAATTACTTACCATAAGCATAGTAAATACCATTCTGATACAAGTTATTTGCAATGTGACTTCCTCATCTGTATGCATTATTGTGCTAGGAAAATGAAATGAAACCCTTGATTTGGAATCTGAAACAGAAGTAATGATCCTGTTTACTGATTGACTGAAGTTGGGTTTTTTAGTTCCCGTTTAATAGCAAAAACAGAATGAAGCATTCAAATAAAACAGTGTGTGTTTAACTTATTTAAGGAAGCATTCATTTATATACCCAAGTCATGCCATAAACGCTGTCCCTTTTCATGGTGGTGATAATTCTACATATTTAATAATATAACAAACTCACTTTAACAGAAAAGTGTCCATTTTATTATTATTTCCTAAATGAAGTTCATTTTCAAATACTGTTTTGGCTCTTGTTTAGGAGTAGATGTACAATTGAGAATGCATGGCTATAAATGAGAGTTGTTTTAAAACAGGAGATGGCATATGTTGAAAATGGGCTAGAGGTAATGTCTTGGTGATTAGGCCATATATGTGTCATAAAGTCAGAGAAGCATAAGAGGTCCCTTTTAATTCTGTAGTGCTTATAAGAACCACTTTACATTTCAGCACCTTGTAGCAAACCATATACTAAGCTATTTATTTTTCACCCTACTGATTACTCCATAGCTGTGGTCAATTAAACCATATAGTGGTGCCTCGCAAGATGAAATTAATTCGTTCCGTGAGTTTTTTCGTCTAGCGAATTTTTCGTCTTGCGAAGCACGAAATCCCATAGGAATGCATTGAAATCCAATTAATGCGTTCCTATGGTCAAAAAAGTCCAAACAAAGCCAAATTTGGTACAACAAGAGTTTATTAAGTGCTCTTTAAAGTCACACATACTGTAAAGAGCATTTCAAAAATTGAAAGAACAATAAATTAAGTTTCTAAACATGACAGAAAAACATTTAAAAATCAACAAAGTGTACAGTACATTTTCTAAGACTCTGGGGGACAACTCGAAGAAGGTTCCTCTTCCACTCTTTGCTTCTTGCTGAAGAACCCCCTCCTCAACTGTTCCCCCAGCCACCCACCACACAGAAATTCAAATCCAGAATTTTTTTTAAAAAACAGCAGAGTGGCCCAATGGTCACAGAAAATCATAAAAATTCAGAAAAAAACCACAAGCTTCCAGATTCTTGCAAACCCCTCCTCAACTGTTCCCCCAGCCACCCACCACACAGAAATTCAAATCCAGATTTTTTTTAAAAAAACAGCAGAGTGGCCCAATGGTCACAGAAAATCATAAAAATTCAGGAAAAAAACCCCTCCCCAACACCAAGTCCTTGAATTCCAAACACCCCAACCCAAAATCCAAAA